TAGTTTTTTTTTTTTGCCTTGAACTACAAGGAGTGAGATAAAGTGTGTGGGGGGGACTTTGTATTATTAGCCATATTGGTAAAAAGCAAATACATAAATGCTGGGTCAATTATGCAATATTTCTTCCATTGAAAGAAGGCAGGCTCACTTTTTTTTTTTTGGATAGAAAAGAGATGGCTATTTATGGAAAGGAAAAGCAAAAATTTGTAGGGATGATGACCGAATCTTCAAATTCTGCATCTCTTTTGCTCAACAATTCTTCTTTGCGAAAGCTTTTGTAACACAGCTCCTTTATATCTTTGGCACTTCACCCAGCTTTATAGTCAGCTTACATTGTGCCAAAGCTGAAATGGCTCTCTTGAGTCGTTTTTCCAAGGAAAACAATAACGACAAAACAAAAGGCGAGTAAAACTGGGTACAGGGTGGGCGGTTTTGTGCAATCTTTCTTGCTCAGAGTTTTGTATTTCACAACCAAAACCTACATGGATTCCTTGCAGTCTGACTTAATTAACCTCTAGAGTGCATGAATAGGTTAATCCTCTTTGTTTTGGCCCGTTTCTAAATGGACAACTGTGACTCACAAAACTAAATATATGGTTCGGGAAAGAAAGGGGCCCTTAAAGGATTAAAAATGCAGGAGCTGAAGGAGGGTTCGTGTGGGGAGAGCAACCAACCTTGGTGAAATATCACATCCTTGCTGCATAAAGGCTCCCAAGGAGAACCAGAGACTGTTAAATATCCCAAATTCATTAGTTTGATCAGCAGCTGGCTGGTCGCGCCCTTCTTCAAATTCCTCGGTGTGCCACTCATACGGGCTGAAGCGGCTGACCAGGAAGAGGACAACGCTGACTCCAATGTAGGCAAAGACGATGCACATCCAGATCTCATAAGCCAAGGGATCCAGAAAGGAAAACACTCCGGGTTTGGATTTCTGAGGTTTTTTTATCATGATGGAGATGCCTAGGCTCATAAACGGTTTGGAAAAGTCAATAACTTCTTCTCGAACAAGGGTGATGGTCAATGGTGCAACAGCAACATCAGCTCTCTGAAAAAAAGAGACGGGTAACAGGTTCACACTCTGGAGAGAACATGCCCCAATAGACCCTTCCCCAGCCTCCTTTTTCTCATTCCTTCTCTCTCTCTCTCTCAATCCACTGTCACTCTCTGATATCATAGGGTGGTCTAATCAGGAGAAGCCAATGACAAAAGAAGGGCTAAAAAAATCCCATCAGACTGGCATGTTATTTCCTTTCTTTTCATTACTGATGATTATTTGTGTTTTAAAATCACAGCTTCCCCCCCCCCACTAGTCAGCTCCTCTTGTCTGATTCACCCAGTGATGTCATGATTCCAGGTTTCTGACATCCCATTTCAGTTTAAAAAAAAAAAGGAAAAAATTTAAAAAGGAGAAGAAACTGTATCCTGCAGACATCAGAAGAGATGGGAGAAAAGCAGGCTGATTGAGAGATAGCACCAGGGTGTTTATTTGTAGCAGGAGATGCTTTTTTATTCTATGATGCGTCAGAAGGGGAACATTTCCATTGACACCTGTGGAAATTTTGTTTATTTTACAGTGCGTCTGAACATGGAAAGTGTATCATGTTCAAGGGTATAAGGATACACTCTGGCCAGGGACAGGCATTATACATAAAGCAGCATAAGGGATCGGAAACTGGTTCAAATCTGTAATGCAACAGAAGTTCAGTGCACATAAACCACTTTCAAAATGACCAAAACTGATTTAAGATAAACCTGGATGGATGTAGTATCAGACTGAACTGATTTAGGTTAAATTGGTTTACTGAACTTCTGTCCAAGATCCCCTCTAGGTTCAAGTTAACTCACAGTCCCCCAGCATCCCAGGATGCTTTGCACCTCCTCTGCAATGCCACCCCCCGCCCAGAATGGGTGCACTAGCCTTGGCCCAAGCTGTCTGCTCCAGCTGAGCGGTGATGTGTGCTCTAGCACCGCCCCCCTCCCTCAGCTTCTGGCTTGATCCACTGCAGGCATGTGGCTGCATTTCCAAAATCAAAAGTGAATGTCTGTTCACTTGCTGATCGGTTCAATCTACGCAGCTTAGACTAACCTGTGAAGACTGAATCTATTCAGCTTTGGGTTTTTTGACTGTACTTCACCCTTGTGGGACTCCCAAAAGTGACTTTCAGTCACCTACTATGCTCAAGTGCTTTCATAAGCCTGTGTCTTAATTACTTTGTGCTTGTGGCTGGTCTCACTTCATATGTGTGGCCAGTCTAAATGTATTGCATGATGAAGCAGTTAATTGCATAATATATGTATGTAACATGTAGACAGATGTGCAGCAATGTTGCTCATGAGGTGGTTGAGGTTTATATGGTGTCTGTTTTGG